AATCAGATTAGAAAAAAGAACATATATCCCATTTTTGTAAGCATGTTTATTCATGCATAGACAAAAGACTGGAGGCGATCTCTGGTTTTAGGGTGTTTGCCAGTTTTAGTAACTTGCATTTTAGTTTCCACAGAGATAAGAGATAGAGCCTTGCACCTGTGAGTGTTAAACTGATACACCAGTTAAGAGTATGGATCTTCAAAGGGTTGAACATTCACTAAAGGAGTGGATAGACTAGAAAAAAATCTACCTGTGAGCACACACAGAGAGATGTCTCTCTCAGCAAGATCCAGAGCTGGTTGGGGAAGGGAATATTCACTGAGAGCTCATGACCATGGATTTCCCTTCATATGAGTTTTGTGTTCAAATCTACAGTACTCGTGGGATCTGGGAGAATCTCCAGACTGAGAATTGACATAAAAAGTGGTGTAAGGCTGATAGTATGACAGAGGTATCTGGAAGACACAAACTGTTCTGGAGGGACGTATCCTCAACCCAGACCACATAGATTTCCCAGAAATAAAGCACAACTAAAAATGAACTCATTACAGAATTATAAAGCATGGGAGGAAGCAATCTTCTATTCCTCTATGAGCAAGAATCAGCGGACAGAACAAACTAAACACCTGAAGAGAAGGAATAGAAAAGGTGAGAAAAAATAGGTGCTATCGTAAAAATAAGACAGATTTTTAAAAAGGGTCAATAGAATTTCTGGAAATGTAAAATAGTCATTGAAATTAAAACTCAGTGGGTAGGATAAACAACCGCTTTGACACAGAATAGAGAGTTAATGAGTTAGATCAGGAGTTGGCACATTATGGCTTGTGGGGTAAATCTTGGTTGTGGCTTATTTTTTACAGCCTGCATGGAAAGAATGGTTTTTACATTTTTGAAGGGTTGTTTAAAAAAAGAGACAAATGAAAAGATTCTACATAGACTGTATGTGGCTCCCCAAACCTAATATATTTACTTTCTGGCTCTTTACTGAAAACATTTCCTGAACCCTCAACTGGATAGACCTGAGGAAATTTCCAGATGGTAGCACAAAGGACAAAAGAGAAAATATAGAAGAAAGGCTTAAAGACATGGAGTATGAAATGAGGAGGTCTGACATATGTCTAGTCATCTAATAGGAGTCCAAAAAGGAGAGAAGGAGTGACAAGCTCTATACAAATAGATAACCAACAAACTAAACAAACTAAGACAAACAAAACAAACAAAAAAAGCAAACAGGTAATGACTGAGGCTTTTCTGGTTTGATGAGAGACACACATCTTAAGAACCAGAAAGTTTGATGAGTGCTGAGCGTCCCCCACCCCCCAGATTCCACATGTAGACACATGCAGAATTCCAAAGGCAAAAAGATCTTAAATATAGCCAGAATGAAAAGTCAGGTTATCCACAAGGCACAACAATTAGACCGCCATCTCACATCTCACCAGCAATAATAGAATCCAGAGGATTCTTCAGTGTTGGTGGAAAAGAATTATTAACCTAGAATGGTATATCCAGCTAGATCATTATTCAGGATTTAGGGTGAAATAAAGTGTTTTCACAAGAGAACAGAGTTTACCGCCAACAGACTCTCACTGGAGGCACTACTTCAGGAAAAAGGACACAACCAGAGGGAAGGAATGAAATGCAAAAAGGAATGGAATTCTGAATAAGGAAATTGGTAAATATGTGGGTGAATCTAAACAAGCATGAATTGCATTAATGATAATAAGGGCTAACATTAAGAGTGTAAAAACAAGATGGAGCTAAAATACCAGTCAATATTGATGTAAAAGTCAAGAGAGAGGTCATCATAGGTAAAGAGCTTTTATTAAGAAGAGGGATAAAAGAGATAATGTTAAATTTTCCACTTAAGTCATAAATTGAATATATAACTGCCAGACTGGTAGAGGGTTTTTTTTTAAAAAAAAAAAAAAGACTGACAGAAAAATATGCCATCTCTTGGGAAAATTGTGTTTACTCCAGTGTTTATAGTGTTCTAAACAGTGTCCAGCACACAATAAAAAAATCATAAGATTACAAAGAAACAGGTAAATATGACCTACAGTCAAGAGAAAAATAGAATAAAATCCACAGGTGCCCCAGATGTTGGAATTAGATAAGAAATTTAATTCTCATAAATATGCTAAAGAAAATGGAGGAAAAGTTGGAAAAAATTAATAGATGAAGAATTTCGATAGAGAAATGGAATCTCTGAAAAAGAACTTACTGGACATTCTTGAACTGAAAAATATAATACCTGAAATTAAGAATTTATTGGATGGAATTAACCTTAAACTAGAAATAGCAGAAGAATGGTTTGGTGAACTCAAAGACAGGTCAGTTGAAATTATTCAAGCTAAAGCATTATTAGATGAAATAAAAAAGATTGATTTAGAGTAATGCATAGGATAAACTGATGGGGAATGGGAGATTAGGCATAATGGTTTGTTGTGGTGCAGTACTAGGTTGAAGGCAGTTGTGTAAAAGGAAGGGATAAATGCAAACATTATTGTAAATTATTATTATAATCCATATATTATTACCATAATTATTATTATTACAAAAAAGAATGGATGCAGTTTGGCAGATCTAAAAATAACTCCAGGACTTGTAGCTAATAAGTAGATTACTATATGCGAGATACTGTACAGGGTATTTTTTACGCACTGCTGTATCCCTGATTTTTATAACAATCCTGAACATGAGTGTTTTCTTTTACTTAAGAAAAAAAATGCAGCTCAGAGTGGTTAAGTGACCATCTAATAGCTTACAAAGCTGGGGTTTGATCCAGGTCTGGCTAGCTTTGAGGTCTATACTCCTTGCTGTATATCACATTGTTTCTAGTTTGTAAGACTAGAAGAGTGTAATATCATGGGCAGAACTGAAAGTTATTGAAAAGAGGGAATATTTCGAATCATGTAATGGCCGTAGTGTATCCTAGGGAAGGTATCCTTTAGGGAGCTGGAAATACTGGTCTACTAGTATTTTGGGGGTACTTTGGGGGTTGACGCCATTTCAGCGAATGGATTCAGTACCAGATTATGTCAAAAGCCTTGGGGAGCACTTTCTATATGAGGTAGGAGGACGACTGCGTGCCAGCAAAGCAGAAAGGGACAATACATAAATGAAAAGATATTATGAGGGAAATCAGTAGATCAGTGCCAGAAAGTGTCAGGGGGTAAGAAAGGCTACCTTAAACAGTAATATCAAGAAATTAAGATCTGAAGGATGAGAAGGAGTCAACCAGAGAAGAGCCTGGGGAAGAGCATTCGAGACTAAAAGATCAGCAAGTATAAAGCTTCTGAAGCAGTTAAGAGCTGGTTGAAGAATTGAAAGGAGGTCAGTGTAGCTAAAGCTGAAGGAGCAAGTATGGCAGTGATGTCATATGAGATTAGCTTGGTGGTCGGGGAGCTAGTTAAGAAGGGCCTGGCAGTGTAGTGGGAAAGCACTGACAATTTTTTTTTTTTTTTTTTCCGGTACGCGGGCCTCTCACTGTTGTGGCCTCTCCCATTGCGGAGCACAGGCTCTGGACGCGCAGGCTCAGCGGCCATGGCTCCCGGGCCTAGCCGCTTCGCAGCATGTGGGATCTTCCCGGACCGGGGCACGAACCCGTGTCCCCTGCATCGGCAGGCCGACTCTCACCCACTGCGCCACCAGGGAAGCGCAGCCCTGACAATTTTTTTTTTTTTTTCCGGTACGCGGGCCTCTCACTGTTGTGGCCTCTCCCATTGCGGAGCACAGGCTCTGGACGCGCAGGCTCAGCGGCCATGGCTCCCGGGCCTAGCCGCTTCGCAGCATGTGGGATCTTCCCGGACCGGGGCACGAACCCGTGTCCCCTGCATCGGCAGGCCGACTCTCACCCACTGCGCCACCAGGGAAGCGCAGCCCTGACAATTTTTTTTTTTTTTTCCGGTACGCGGGCCTCTCACTGTTGTGGCCTCTCCCATTGCGGAGCACAGGCTCTGGACGCGCAGGCTCAGCGGCCATGGCTCCCGGGCCTAGCCGCTTCGCAGCATGTGGGATCTTCCCGGACCGGGGCACGAACCCGTGTCCCCTGCATCGGCAGGCAGACTCTCAACCACTGCGCCACCAGGGAAGCGCAGCACTGACAATTTTTAAGGAAAGGAGATCCCTGGTCTAACGCATGTTTTAAGAAGATGATTCTGATTGCTGTGCGTAGAATGCATCGTAGCGGGCAGGCTGACAAGTTGGGCATTCAGTGCTGTGGCAGATGACAGAATTAATGAGATTGCTCCTTATCAGTGTTTCAGGTGACATTTATTTCTAGATCCTAATACCTTCGTTGTCATTTTCCAGAGAATGACAGAAGAGGTTCTAAGCATTTTCTTTTTCTTTTGTGCTTGCAATAGTTTAATTTGCTGTTTAGGAAAGAAAGTTCATGCTTTTGGGCACTGATGACACTTTTGCCTAATTTCAGTAAAAGAGATGGTACTTGATGGGGATAAATTTTTTTGTCATTGTTGAATTACTGGTTTCCATTAGAACGTTTGTTTCTATTCCCAGTTCTGTTCACTGTAGGTTGGTAGCATTAGCAATATTAGATTAAGTATCGTCAGTCTCCGAATAACTTTTAAAAAACATTTTGTTTAGACTCTGTATAATTTATTTTTGAGTTTTTAATGTGAGAAATGTTAAACATATATAAAAGCAAACATGCATGTATCCCCGTAATTCACTTCTAAAAGGTAAGGATTTTTCTACGTTTTAGCATTTTGGTTTATTCCCTCTTAGAGCTCATAAATAAGTAACCATATAGCTGGATGGTTTGCCTTTGAGAATGCCGATTTATGCTTGTTGTCCCAGTGTATTTATTAATAGGACCCCTTTTCACTTAAAACAGTGCCTCCATCTGAGCAATAAATTCTATGCTCACCTTATATACATAAGAGAAACCTTTTCATAGTAGACAGTAAATAAATTCTTTAATAGCATCTTCAGTATTGAATATTTTTCTAATAGCATGTCACTTCTCTATTTTCTATCAGGAGAGCAAGCCCCGGAGTTCACTATTTCCAGAAATTGTATACTGAAGTGTAATGCTACATGAGTCAGAGAAAGGAAGGACCCTGAGCCATATGGTAAGAAGGGAATTAATCAGCTGAGTCGCCTGGATTATGCCTTCTCTTTTTCCTCCACTCCATTCTATCTTTGTTACGATTTGATCGTAAGTGCTGAGAACATTATTTTGAAACCAAAAAGTGAGATTTTAACATTCGAATTAAAAGGATAATGCTTTAGAAACTTGGACCTACATTCTTTGGGATATTTGGTCAGCTGTTAACTATCAAGTTTAGATCATCCAAATTTACGCTTTTCCATGATTGATTAATTTTTGGTTTTTGTTGTCCTTATCTCATGGTCTCCTTATTCAAACCTTTTAGTAACATTGTCATCACTTTTAATTTTTATTTAAAGGGAGAGAAGACTCTATCAAACATTTAATAGTTATATATCCTTAACAAAGGTAGAAGCTAGAGAGAGTGACTGAGCATCCAGAAAGTACTACTTACTTCACACTGCCTTGTGGTAGTATCCTTGCTATTTGTTTATATCTTTTTAGGCTAAAGGAAGTTCCATGAGGTCGAGGATTATTTTACATCCTAGATTTGCCCACAGTTATACTTAGCGTGTCTTAGACATGGAAAGAGTATGGTAAATACTTTTTGGAGGGAATGAATGAAGGAAATTGGAGGTATTCTTTGGCACAGAACATTATGAATTCACTTCTAGATGTATTGAATTTGAGGTGAAAGCAAGTGAAAAGCTTTTGTAACCTGTGATAGTAAAGTTTGGTAAGAGAATAGGGCTGGGAATGCTGTTTCAAGATTTTTTAGCCTGAAGTACCCTCACATCCTCTGTCCTTTATTTTCATAGCAACACAATATATGTTGTTATCTCCGTATACTTATCTCCATTTTGGGATATTAGAAACCTGGGGCGTAAGGTCTGGCAGCAAATCTTTTCCAAAGATAAGAAATAATGCCCCTCATTTCTAAGTATAGTGTTCTTTCTGAAAGACCAAGTTACTATTTATATTTTAAGGAGGAGCACATGATGTGTGCTAACAGAAGATAAATGAGAAGCAAACTGGAAAATACATTTTATCTCTGAATTACTGCACCCACTGCTGGGTAAAGATCAAGAGAGTTCTCGTCAGCTTTTTTCAACTCTGACTATACCAAATGGAGCTTCTCACAGAGGTGTTTTTGTTTGTTTGTTTGTTTTCCAGTAGTTCAAAAGGCAACTTTCATGTCAGGAATGAACATAGATAGGAGGGTGTTTCTCTTTGTCTAATGATGATGCCTGAGTCTAGAATAACAAATTGTTGTGAACATTTTTGCCCTCTGTTGAGTGTAGCTGGTAATCATTTTATAGGGCTCTAATGCTGCTCAATAGCCAATTAAATAGGAAGAAGGTGTGTGTGTCTAAACACTGAAACTGTTTTTGGACACTTACCTTATCCATCTCTTACTAACCACAAGTAAAATATTCATACCAAACAAAACCTACATTGGACTTAAAATGTTATGTGAGACACACACCAATGATCCAACCATTGTTCTGTCTTATAAGATTTAAGCATTTTCCAGAAAGTTACAGGGGGAGAGCAGGCTTGTTGAACATAATGTTTTCAAGACTGACATGCTTCTCTTTCTTTTGCAGGCCTGATTGTTGGCAATGACACTGTTAAGAGGCTGGCATTTATTTCTGTTCTAACCAGCTACTTTATAACTGTGAATAGTAACTATGCATATGTATCGGTCAGCAAAACCAAGGAACGAGAGCTATGGCAGTTGACAAAGTCAATCTGATTCCTGGGTATCTTTCCTGGGTTCCACCATCAGGGACCTCTTCCCTTCCGTCTCATCAACAATGTGGTACCTTTTACTATTTGATAAAGATTAAGGACATGTTCTTTGGTCAACAACCAGAACTTAAAATCTGCTGGAGTAGGGTCAGAGACCATTTCAATCACAGCTGAGGAAAATGAAATTTCCGTTTTATTTGGTGCCTTGTCCAGGGAGCACACTAACTCTTTCGGAAACACGGGAGTGAGAGGAGGTTGAGTCTTGTCTGATAGCAACTCGTGGTTATGGCGAGTGACCCAACGTGACCAGCAGGGGCAGGAGCCACAGAGGAACTCATGACGGGCTACACCATGTTGCGGAATGGGGGCGTGGGCAACGGAGGTCAGACCTGCGTGCTGCGGTGGTCCAACCGCATTCGGCTCACATGGCTCAGCTTCACACTCTTCATCATCCTAGTGTTCTTCCCCCTCATCGCCCACTATTATCTCACCACCCTGGACGAAGCGGATGAGGCAGGCAAGCGGATCTTTGGCCCACGGGCTGGTAATGAGCTCTGCGAGGTGAAGCACGTGCTGGATCTCTGCCGCATTCGAGAGTCTGTAAGTGAAGAGCTCTTGCAGCTGGAAGCCAAGCGGCAAGAGCTGAACAGTGAAATCGCCAAGCTGAATCTGAAGATCGAGGCCTGTAAGAAGAGCATTGAGAACGCCAAGCAGGACCTGCTGCAGCTCAAGAACGTCATCAGCCAGACCGAGCACTCCTACAAAGAACTGATGGCCCAAAATCAGCCCAAACTCTCTCTGCCCATCCGACTCCTCCCAGAGAAGGACGATATCGGCCTCCCTCCCCCAAAGGTCCTGCGGAGCTGCCGGCTGCACAACTGTTTTGATTATTCTCGTTGCCCTCTCACCTCTGGTTTCCCAGTCTATGTTTATGACAGTGACCAGTTTGCCTTTGGCAGCTACCTGGATCCCTTGGTCAAGCAGGCTTTTCAGGCCACAGCACGAGCCAACGTTTATGTTACAGAAAATGCAGATATTGCCTGCCTTTATGTGATCTTAGTGGGGGAAATGCAGGAGCTGGGAGTGCTGCGGCCTGCTGACCTGGAGAAGCAGCTGTACTCCCTACCACACTGGCGGACAGACGGACACAACCACGTCATCATCAATCTGTCTCGGAAGTCGGACACCCAGAATTTACTGTACAATGTCAGTACAGGCCGGGCCATGGTGGCCCAGTCCACTTTCTATGCTGCCCAGTACCGGCCTGGCTTTGACTTGGTGGTATCGCCACTAGTCCACGCCATGTCAGAGCCCAACTTCATGGAAATCCCACCACAGGTGCCAGTGAAGCGGAAATATCTCTTCACCTTCCAGGGTGAGAAGATTGAGTCGCTGAGATCCAGCCTTCAGGAGGCCCGTTCCTTTGAGGAGGAGATGGAGGGTGACCCTCCAGCTGACTACGATGATCGTATCATTGCCACCCTCAAGGCAGTACAGGACAGCAAACTAGATCAGGTCCTGGTAGAATTTACCTGCAAAAACCAGCCTAAACCCAGTCTGCCTACTGAGTGGGCGCTGTGTGGGGAGCGGGAAGACCGCTTAGAATTACTGAAGCTCTCTACCTTCGCCCTCATTATCACTCCCGGGGACCCTCGCTTGGTTATTTCCTCTGGGTGTGCCACACGGCTCTTTGAAGCCCTGGAGGTTGGTGCTGTCCCAGTTGTGCTTGGGGAGCATATGCAGCTTCCTTACCAGGACGTGCTGCAGTGGAGCGAGGCCGCCCTGGTGGTGCCCAAGCCGCGAGTGACCGAGGTCCACTTCCTACTACGGAGCCTCTCCGACAGCGACCTTCTGGCCATGAGGCGGCAAGGCCGCTTCCTCTGGGAGACTTACTTCTCCACCGCGGACAGTATTTTCAGTACTGTGCTGGCTGTGATTAGGACTCGCATCCAGATCCCAGCCGCTCCCATCCGGGAAGAGGCGGCGGCCGAGATCCCCCATCGCTCAGGCAAGGCAGCCGGCACCGACCCCAACATGGCTGACAATGGGGACTTGGACCTGGGGCCCGTGGAGACGGAGCCGCCCTACGCCTCCCCCAAGTACCTCCGCAACTTCACCTTGACCGTCACGGACTTCTATCGCAGCTGGAACTCTGCGCCAGGACCTTTCCATCTTTTCCCCCACACACCGTTTGACCCTGTGCTGCCCTCAGAGGCCAAATTCTTGGGTTCCGGGACTGGCTTTCGGCCTATTGGTGGTGGGGCCGGGGGCTCCGGCAAGGAGTTCCAGGCCTCGCTGGGCGGCAACGTCCCACGCGAGCAGTTCACAGTGGTGATGCTAACCTACGAGCGGGAGGAAGTGCTCATGAACTCACTCGAGAGGCTGAATGGCCTCCCTTACCTGAACAAGGTCGTGGTGGTGTGGAATTCTCCCAAGCTGCCCTCAGAGGACCTTCTGTGGCCTGACATTGGTGTCCCCATCATGGTAATAGAAGCATGAGCCTTTTGTTTTACTGCATGAGAGAGGAATTCATTCTTAATCTCTTTTCCATAAACATGCTTTTTTTTAAAAAAAAGAAACCTATACAGATTCTTTCCCCATGAAATTTTCTCCTTGCCTCTATTTCATTCCTTTCAGGCCTTGCCAGTTCCCTTTCTGCTACTTACTTCAGAAATCTCCTAAGACGCTCCAATACCGAAACTGGCCCCGTGAAGGTTTACAAAACCCCGTCACTGACCTCATGGACTTATTCTCTGTCATCACAAAGTTGTTGATAATGAGAATGGTGATGAAAAGCTAACATTTAAGAAGCACTCATAGTCTAGGCACTATAATTTAGCATTTGTGGAACTTATATAATGAACTAGTGCGGTTTCTTCATTTTAAATCTGTGGAAACTGAGGCTTAGAGAGGTTAATTATTTTGCCCAAGGTCATGATTAGCAATCATGGAGGAGCTGAGTCTTAGTGTGTCTGATTCCAGAAGCTGCGGTTTTAATCACCTCCCAAAGGATTTAGGAAGGAGACCTGTTTCATTTCACAGGATCGGGTACAAGTCCTCGGGGAGACTGGTGTCGGGGGTTTGATATTTTTGGAGTTGGAGATCCTGAACCTTTTCTGTAGTCTCTTGCAGGTTCTTTCTCATTCTTCACTCCATCTGTTATGGTTAGGATGCTGTATTTTACAGGAAAAATAATAGCCAAATATGCAGGATAGAGCTTTAGTTCTGAGTACTTTGTTTATCCACCTTCTGATGTAAACTTGTCAATCTAGAGGGAGATAACCCATTTCTCTTAAATGTGAGGCCTTAGAGCAAATCTTAGGCCACCTGGCAACTACTTAGCCTTCAGCTTAGGTACTTTGCAGAAAAAGGTAGCAAAGAAGGGCAAAGGTCTGATGGGCCATCATTGCTAGAAGCTTGCTTAAGAAAATTAGTGTAGTATTTAGGAAGAATTTGCCTAGAAGGGGAATGTTCAGGCTACACCAGTTTTTTAAAAATTTATTTCATTAAGGAACTAACTCATGTGAAATACTTTCTAAGCAGCATCATGGTATAATGGAAAAGTATGCATTTTGGAGTGATACAGACCTGGGATTAAGTAGTCATTTTGTCATCTTTGGTAAATTAATTAACTCCTTAGACTTCAGGATTAAAGAGGAATCTAAGGTAGTACAAGTAAGGAATCCAGAAAGGTGCCCCAAAATTATTTGATTCCTGCTTATTCCTTCCTGTCAAAGGAGATGGAGGGCAGCATGGATGTTCTGCTTCTGTTAAGGACTCACTTCACTGATGAAGCCTTCTTGTATCTGCTATATAATTTCCCTTGTGTTATATCTGTTACCACTTTTTCTTCTCTTGTACAAATCTTTGTTTTAAATTTTCTTTCTTAGGAATCCTGCTACTATCTTACTACTGCTGCTGCTCTTTTCTTGTATTTTATTTAATTGAATTTATAATCTGAGTCTATTCAAAGACTGTAGGGTTCTACAAACTTTTGATCCCAGAATTTATCGTGTATATTAAGAAAGTGCTGAACGGGGAGATTTTTTTTATTGACATCTTCCCAAACATATTTCGCTATTTTCTTAGTTACAACTTTTTGAATGTCATTGAAATTAAAGAGAAAAAATTGTTCTGTGAAAGGTAGATGCTGCGGAAATAGAATAATAAAGCAGCCTTTGTTTTCCGTTCTCCTGAGTTTTCTTAGAATTTGATAGGGATGTAGAGAAGCTGATGCCACAACAGTTACCAGCGACTGAAATTTGTCCGAGAACTTACCAGAGCTAATCCTTCCTTATAACTCTGGTGGGAAATAAGTAGTCTTCTTTGATTACTGGGTAGCTCATTGCAACAATACAATGCCTAGTCAGAAAATGCCAGAGACTTTCCAAGTGGGGGGCTGTTTTGAATAGCTTGTTCATATTAGTGATACACACTTTTTTCAGGTTCTTCTGAAAAAGAAAAAACACTTTCAAGCTGGACAGTTTCACTCCATTCTCTAAATATTTGGACTGTTTTCTATTTAAGAGAGGGCAGTTCTTTTGGGCAGCAGTTGAATTGTCAACCTCTTGGGCAGAGAGTCAACACTACCCAGGTGTCAGGGCTACAAGGGACTGGCAGCTCTCCCCTGTGGGAGAATGGCACTGTTACGAAGCATCTCAGAGTGGATTGTCCACCGAGGGTGAAGACGTGACCTGTCCATTATGTTACAGTTAACAGGTCTTTGTAAAGTTAGCAGCAGAGTGGTTCCCAGGCAATCTGTCCGATTCCAGTCCTTCAGGGAAAATGATTTGAAATGAGCATTTTGGCTGAAAGAATCAACCCAGGAACCTACATGCCATTTCAGAAAATCCTGGACAGTTTGTGCTTCTCTTCTGCTCAGGGTGCCAGCAGCACAATGGGCATGATGGCTAGCTGTTTGTGTAAGGAAAGAGGGGTTGTCTTAGGGGGTACCTGCTGGGGTTAATATGTTAAAATCCCTCATTCTTTTCTATTACTTACATAACAAAGGGGAAACTAGGGTCTGGCTTAGAGTAAATGGGATCTTCACGGCCACCCTCCTGCCCCAAATGCTTTATATAAAGAGAACTTCAGTTCAGATGGGGTAGGGCCTGGGCGTGGTGACAGCACTGCCCCCAGTGAGATGGGGTATGTGCCACCAGCTGCAGGGGTCTCTCACCTGAATGGTGTGGAACGGCTGCACGGAGGCTGGGACAGTGGGTGACTGCTCTCTCCATCTCTTGCCTGTTTTGTGAACAGTCGAATCAGGTTCCTTAGCTCCTGGAGCAGAAGACATGAATGTTTAATGGAAGTCAGATGGAGGGTAGCGTTGTGCCGGGGGTTTTGAAGGCTGTCTTTTGAAAAATTCCCTACCAGGTGGGGAGACCACCACTTTCATGCATCTTAAAGATTTTCCATTGTTTCCAGGCCTCCATTCTTTGAAATATGTCAGTGATTTCTCAAATTTTTGTTTCCCTGTATGTAATGTGTTATTTTTGTCTGGCTGCTTTCAAGACTTTTTCTTTAAATTTGGTTTTCAGCACTTTGACTGTGATATGCCTCTGCATGGTTTTTTTTGACTGGGGTTCACTAAGCCTCTTGAGTCTAGTAATTTATGTTTTTTTAAATCATATTTTGGGGAATTTTTATTCAGTATTTGTTCAGATATTTTTCTGTCCCATTCTTGCCCTCCTTTTCTTGGGGACTCCGTTCTATGTATATTAGACATTTTGATGTTGTCCCACAGTTTTCAGTGGCTCTGTTCATTTTTTAAAAATCGTTTTTATCTTTGATAATTTCTGTTGATCTGTCATCAAGTTTACTGACTTGTGTCTACACTGCTCTTAAGCTCATTGAGTCAGTTTTAAATTTCAGATACTGTATTTTCCAGTTCCAGAATTTCCATGTTTTTAAGAATAACAGTTTATTTCTCTGCTGAGATTTCCTGTTTTGTTTTTGTTTTTTTTCCCATTCTGAGTATGCTTTCCTTCATTGAGCACAGTTATGATAGCTACTTGAACATCTTAGTCTGCTAATTCCAACATATGGGTCACTTGAGTATTTGCTGTAATTGAGTTTCTTTTTTCCTGAGGACTGGGTCATGTTTTTCTGGTTCTTTGTATATCACATCAAACAGTTTTGTATTAAACATTGTGAATGTTCTGAAGACTGTGGATTTTGTTTTATTTCTCTGAAAAGTGTTGAGATTTTAGTTTTAGCAGGCAGTTAATTTGGTTGGACTCAGACTGCACGTTCTCTCTCCAGTGGCAACGCAAATATTAGTTCAGCCCTTTTGTCTTTAGCTGGTCTGCTTAAGAAAACAGCACCAAGCATGCATGGTTCAGGGGTGGCCCAGAGACTGGGCAGTTTATACACAGTACGTGGAGCTCCCCCTATCTGGCTCTCTCCATGCTGGAATCTTCTTTCTTCCAGGGGCTGTGGTTGCCCCAAACTCTTTTCCTCATTCTTCAGGCCAGAAAGACTTGGGTGTTGTATGCGAGTTTAAGTCTTGCATGGTACCGACTTTGGCATACTCTCAGGGCAAAAGCAACGTGTCCATAATTCCTTCCTAAATTTCAGCTCCTCTTCACAATTTGTTGTCTTCTGCTCACTATCTAGTGCTTTCAGGTAATGCTTTTTTGGTATTTTTGTCCAGAGTTTACTGTTACCGTCTGCGGGAGGCTGGGTCTGGATGGGGCTTTTTCAGCCATCCTGGAAGCAGGAGCCTCCGGGTGGTCTCTTTTTGGATACATGGCCCCGCCCAGAATTTTGGTTCAAGTTATTACTTTATTCTGACCAGTTAACACATCTTCTTCACTCTGCTTTATAGTCTAGAAAATTGTACTAAATAGGGTGGCCTTGTTGGAGCGTTGACTGGAAATGAGAACGTGAAAGTCTGTCCTTTTGGAGTGTTAAAACGTGGGCTGTTACGAAGGGGACGTTGTCATTCACAGTGTAGTCTTGCCCACTCATTGCCCATCTCAACGCTACGTACTCACTTGTTTCTCAGTCTTGTGACAGCCAGGCCCTTGATTCTTAATTTCTAGTTCTCTTCTCTGTAAAGGGTACAGCTCATTTACACAGGGAGCCTGGGAGGGCCTTTTGGAAGAGGTGATGTTTGAGCAGAAGCCTGAAGGATGTGAGAGAATGGACCACGTAAATTCTGGAGGAATATACAGAGAACGGCAAGTGCAACAGGCTTGTTGGGTTCAGGACATGGCAGGGGGACCCAGTGTATTGGGGGTGGAGTGATCGAGTGGAGAGTTTGAGCAGGTCAGAGGAGGCAGAGGCCAGCACATGTAGACCATGGTAAGGATTCCAGGTTTTATTCTCAGTGCGTTAGGGTGCCAGCAGAGGGTTTTGAGCAGGGAGAAACATGGTATGTGTGCGACCGTGGGGAAAAGAGCAGGAACAGTTCAAAGGCTATTGCAGTAGCCCAGGTGAGGGGTGCCAGCGGCTTGGACGCTGCAGTCGTGGTGGAGGTG